TTTCTTCTTCTTCTTCTTCTTCTTCTTCTTCTTCTTCTTCTTCTTCTTCTTCTTCTTCTTCTTCTTCTTCTAAATACACACAACCCCCTTTTCTTTTGTTCTCCCCAGTTGGCAGAAATGAAGATGAATCGTGCTCAATACGACCAGTACATGCTGGCCACAAACTTCACAGGCCCAGTGAGCGAGACGAGGGATGACGTGATACTCGACCTGTGGAACGTTACTTTGAATAACGGTTTTATCAGCGTGAGTGGCTAGGGGAAAGGGATACCCCCACTCCTCTTTCGCACTCCCACCCACTACCAATCCTCTTCCTTTTTTTTTGGTGGGGAGGGGGGATTTTTTTTTTGGTGTGCAAATGTATGTATGTATATTTTTTTTACGCAATTGCATAAGGTCATATTATGAGCGCGCGATATGTGTGTCTGAGAGTTGTGTGTTTGTGTATATTACGTATTTGTTTGCTAGTTTGCATACGTGTATGTGTTTGTCCATGTGTTTGTCCATGTGTTTGTTTCTTTTAGGCTGTCAGTAGCATGCAAAACTATACAACAGAACATCAATTTATGTAGCTCCTCTTACCCTGCCTCCTCCACCACCACCCCCCCCACACACACCCCAGGTCAGTGGTACCGCTTCTTTCGACAAGTTTTAAATAAAAATATGACGAGGCGTAATCTTTCAATATGCGTTCTACAACATTTGCCGTTTTCATGGTATTTTAATTATGTAGTGTGCAACGGTCTTTGAAGTATATCAATCTTTTTTTGTCGTTAAATAAAGAGATGAGCCCGGTGACAGCTGTTGCTAAGCATTTTCATAAACAGATGTTCAACAGCACAGCTATTTGAGTATATTTGTATTTGGTAATATCATATTATCATAATATTATATACTCCACAGGACCGATCTGAAGCTATCGTTACATACAGTCTCTGTGGTTTCTCCAGGTTCGTTGACACCTTTCCCAACTGTGTGATATATATCAACCAATGTATTCAATTAATCATGATCCCCCCCCCCTCTCCTCTCCTTCTACTTCTAATTTTGTTTTTTGTCTAATTGCCTTCTCGTTCTGTCGTTCTGACCGGCATCAAATGTACCCCCCAAAAAAAGTCAAAGTCAGTTTTACCGCTTCGTTTTATGAGTTTATTTTTTAAATGATATCAGATATCACACAGCATAACTTGTGTTTTTGTCAAATTTGCCGCTTTTCTTGATATTTAATCCTGCTGTGTTCTATGGTCGTTGTTCAAATTTCTGATATTTCACTGTTGCAACGCACATTTATATAACATCATTGAACTGTATTATTAAGTTTATGTAATTGGAGAAATCTGGTGGGGAGAGATTGAAACCTTTGATAGAGTGTGTTAAATAACAGTAAGAGTTTTAAATGTGCCTCTGAGGTCATTGGTGTATATCGTTGTTTGGGCATCAACACCATTGAAAAGCAAAGTATAAATTGAAAATTGAATAATTTGAATACAGAAAAATAGTATTTGAAAGTGGGTTTTAAACGTTTCAGTAAAAGCTTTACGGCACTTGCAACACAATAAAGTTATATAAGTGCCAAAGATTAAAGGTGATACATACAAGAGAGAAACAAACTCACAAATAGAAGAAGAGATAAAGACAATAGTTGTTCGATAGGAAAAAAAGCAACCCACACCAAAGCTCCCACCAACTACCCACAATATTTTTGGTCTCACGGCTCGATTACGTTTTGCAACTTTCGTTTACTTGGGAGCGACTTTACCAACAATTCAGTTGAGCCCCCTCCCCTCATCCCCATTCCTAAAATAAGCTTTCAAAAAGTCTTTTTCTCATTACCCACCATGGCCCTTACACCGAAATAGGAGACCCCCCGGACGTGCGTAGTAGGTCAAAAAAAGTTCCGAATACAGGGCTCAAGTTTACTTTTACCAACAATTCGCTATTGTAGAATTGCCAGGTTCTCTCTGACATTTTTGGCCGTTTTGGTTTACAGAGACCGTGAGATCAAAAGCAAAATGTTCCTTCTGCTCTAACAAAATTGTAAGTCTATTCGGAGTGATTATCAATATATTCAAAGAAATGCATTCGAAAAAAGTATGACATGTTGTGAAGCTCAAGTTTTTAAAGTAAAATTCCTCAAAACTAATAATAATTATTTAACAGACAGAACTTTGTAATTCTGAGGTAGCGAATTGTATATGTACTATTTCACTTTGAAAGTGTTTTTTTCTCAAACAACAGCTTGCTGACCGTCGCCATCACTATGGGAATTATGTTTACTTTGGTGCCACAGCGTAAGGCCTGGATATCTAAAGTGACCATTCCTTGCATGATTGCTGGAAACATCGCCAACTGCATGACTGGATGCTTTGCAAGTGAGTCAATGTCATCTTTTCGAGAGGAGTAACAAAACTGTCTATCTATCTATCTATCTATCTATCTATCTATCTATCTATCTATCTATCTATCTATCTATCTATCTATCTATCTATCTATCTATCTATCTATCTACCTATATATTTATCTATCTATCTATCTGTCTGTCTGTCTGTCTGTCTGTCTGTCTGTCTGTCTGTCTGTCTGTCTGTCTGTCTGTCTGTCTATCTGCATACTCATACATGCACATACACACACTTACAAAAGCAAGCACACGCGCACACACACACATACCTACTCATCCGGAGAGAGAGAGAGAGAGAGAGAGAGAGAGAGAGAGAGAGAGAGAGAGAGAGAGAGAGAGAGAGAGAGAGACAGCGTAATAGTGAGTATGGGAAGGAGAGAAAGATATAAAGATGGCGGAGATATGAGAGAGAGAAAAAAACATGTAAATAGAGAAGTATAAATAATGAGCTAGACATACAGACATATATCCATCGATCAATATTAATAATTGCGAGCACGTCAGTACACAGTGCCCCCAAATTAGCATACTTGTCTGTCAGCATTCGGAGGTATCTTAATTGCGTTAATACAAATGATATTATGAGGTTACAAAGAAACCTCACTCACTGGTTTGTTCCCCTGGACATTACGCAAGGCATAGAAGAGAATATCAAATGCTCCCCCTCCCACATTAAAAAAGTCAGTTTTACTGCTTCGTTCTATGGGGAACGTTTTGCTTAGATGTGATGATGCAAATATAGAGGAACCGAAACAGTTTTAGTTTAAATTCTAGTCTGTAAGAGCTTTATGGTACTTTCAACACAACCAGGCTATATAATAACTTAAAATTATAATTCTAGAGAGCAGATACATAGAAAAGAAGGAGGAGAGAAGATGACGACAGATATATGATAGGAAAGTAAGAGCAAATTACCCAAGAGGGCCTGCCAAACATCCACGAAAAGAAACAGATCTCTCTGTTGAAACCTTTACATAAGAAAAACAAGTCTTACAGATATCATTTCATTTCTTTCCGTACCAAATGTATTCTTTAAAAAGTAGTATACGCATATACCATATTGGAACAAAAATAACAGCTTTGGAATTCAGGGAATACATTTTGCTGACGTGATACCCATAAATCTAAACTTGATCCTTTCAGACTACTTACGCCGTCCGCTGAAAGTTATACGAATGCTAGCCGTCAACATTTAAAATGTGCACCACCTGGTACCATCGTCATGATACAGCATGGCGTCCCCTCACCGTCATCACAGTTGGATTTTTGTTAAGTAAATGATTAGCAATCTAATACGGCGATTGAAGCTACCCTAGGCACTCCACCAGAACTACAAAGTTCTATCTGCTCAGTATCTAGTTTTGAGAAATTTGACGTCGACAGTTTTGGGTTTCACAAAATTAATGTCAAGCTTTTTTTCCGAATGCAATTCTTTTAATATTCTGATAACGACTTCGAATATTCTTACTATTTTGATATAGCAGACAGAACACTTGGTTTCTGCCCTCAAGGTCTTAGTAACACAAAACCGCCAAACATGTCACACAGAACTTAGTAATTCAAAGGCAAAATAACAATAGTAATAAT